TATTTTTTTTAACTTATTACCTCTGAAAAACAGCAAAAATTGATTCAGCGCGTCATCGGGCTTTCTCTTGCCCATCTTATACATTGAGTTGGAAGTGAGATAGAAGTACTTCTCTCTAAAAGTACACACGCGTAGGAAGCATATTGTTATAACGTAAAAAAAACATAACAACAAACAAAAATTTAAAAATTTATTTAGGTTATTTTGTTTATTATAGTTTGAATATTCGGTAAAAAAATTAAAATTATAGCATTTTAAATTTTAGGGTATATTATTTAATTCAAGAAAATTAGAATTTTCGTCAATTTCGGATTTTAAAACATTCATAACAATTAAAGGGTTAAAGATACGATGATGGGCGTGAAGACTTTTTTATTCGAAATATCCTAAATAATATAAAAAAAAATTAATTCATTGCAAAAAATGCATTTTTTCTAGCTTAATTAATTTTTCGTTGTTTAAACAATAACATCAACAGATATCGAGTGTCATCTTACACTTTTATAATCAGGAAAGCCTTCCGGACATTTAAAAAAAAATTACGAATTAAAACAATTTTGCAAACGAATGCGCCACTATGCCCTGCACTAAATGATCTAAAAGTAAAATCTGTTAAGCAAGAAATTAGTGAAAATTTGTCACCTATAAGTAGGATGTTTGTTTATTTACATGTGTTTGTTTTGTGCGGGATTTTGTATTTGTGATTTTTTAACTATTTTTAGATAATATTCTCATTTTAATAGTGTTTTTGAGATTCATTTAGTGTTAGTTTATGTTTAGTTTTCGTGCTTTCGTCATAAATATAATATTTATCATGTGTATTACTTAATTTGTTGGAAATATTCACCTATTGGTTGCTACAAGAACATCTAAACATATGTATTTTCTAAACCCAGGACATGTTTTATTATGTGGTTTAAAGGACATGTCAGGTACCAAACGTTTATTATTGATGAACTTATTTAAAAATCTTACTATCCTTATTCTTATATTATGAAATGAATTGATGTAAATGGTAATAAAACCGTCACAAATGAGATTACAGTTTGATTCTAAACAAAGTTTTGCAAAATTTCAATATTGTGAATTTGTAGATATCCATTTATCGTAAGAAAGAAAATTTTACGACTGCGCTTGGAAAATAATAAATAATTCAGTTTTGATTTTGACATTAACACCATATAGATTGCAATTTGCTTTTTCGCAGATTTAATTTTTAATATAAACACTATCACATACTATAAGAAATAAACAAATTTAAAGCTAAAAAATAAAAAAAAAATCTCGTACAATTTAAAATGTAAACAATGAACACGAACGCCAATGTTGCCAAATTATGAACTGATTTAAAAACAAAATTAATAAATGAAATTAAATTTAAAAAAAATCAATATAATAAATCGGTTTTATAAAAAAATCCTTAAATTTTGATTCTTAAATAAAAGGTCTTATCCACTTTTTCAAGAGCTATAATCCGACGACGACTTAGCGAAATTTCGCTACTTCTGGCAACACTGAACGATATCCTACTTATAGGGACCTTCTACAAATTTCCTCTAGAGGGCGTATCACTTAGTTTGAATCGCAAATAGCAAAGGTTTATTTTCCAACAAGGCTTGACGCTATTGGCACATTTAACCTTGTGTATAGGATAAACAAGCCTTGTTTATAAAAACATTGGTTGATAATAAGGTCCATAATTGCTTGCACAACAGAAAGTAGCAGTACAGTGTCATTTTTGGTTAAATCTATGGGATAAAATAGGTAGGTTCTGATTACTTTGCAAGGTTCAAAAGCCTTCACTAGTTTATTCAAAAATCTAGATAATTTTCATAAAATTTCTCTAATAATTTATTACGATTTAATTAGGGTTTTTTAGATTTGAAAAGTGTAAATGTATTTATCGTGAAATCGCAAATTGAAGTCCTAAAAGTCTAAGAAATATCTGAAATAAGTGGCTGAATAATTTGAAAATTCGAAAACAAATCTCAAAAATCCCCCTATGAATTTTTAAGACTATCCTCGAACCCCACAGGTTAAAAAAATAATTGGAGATTTGAAAAAAAGCCCGTCGCAGCCGGGAATCGAATCCGGGTATCCATGTTTGCTAGACATATGCCTTTTCCTCTAGATCAAACTTATTTCGCCTACCGTCCACTTTGAGAATAAACATTTGTGTAGCGTCACCTAACATTTTTAAGCTATTGCATAGCTTTTATCGCGGGCATTGAGCGCGGCGACTGAATCAAGAAATTCCGTAACGAAAATAAACCTAACACCCTCCACTCCAACCGGCACAGCGGTGCGGCTATTTTTTCTACGACTCACTAATAAAAATCGAAAAATCCAAAAATCGATAAAACGAAAAAGGCAATGAACAGCGTGATTTTTGGCCGCGTCCACGAGTGAGTTCGAGTAAGTTATATAAGAAGAAACGCTAATTCTATCTAAATATAAAACCGTAAACGGTGTAAACTGTTAACTCTGCATTTAGCATTATCTTGTAAAATAGATTATTAAAAATTCATTCCAGCTTAGATTGTTGTAGAGTAAAGTCAGATAAATAAAGTCTCTAATCTTCAAAAAGTAAATTTTTGTTTTTAAAAAATGATTTTCGAGTTAAATAAATTTAACTAGCACGCGACTAGTTGAACCTTAACGTGTATGTATATGGTACGACTGTACGAAGCTCGCACGGATCGAGACGAGCCGCTCCGTAATCGGACGAATACGTAAGTAGCTGTTTGTGAGAAAGTTTATATAAAAAATGCTATGCAATAGCTTTACCGCGGCAGTCCCCGAGTGCCACACGTATTTTTTTAAAGTATATTATATCTGAGTAACTATCTAAACACTACCTGTAATTGAACATAAACAAAAAAAAAAATAAAAAGGAAAAAATAATTAATTTTATTACAGTTAATTAATAATAAATAAATAATTTATCCTCTCTGGGAAGGAACCAACTTGGAGAACTCCCGCTCAAAATGAGCCTAAAAACATTAAAATCCGTTAAGTGGTTCCCGAGAAATTCGCGAACATATTTAAAAAAAGTCTACGACAAATATAGAATCTTGTAACGCGATGACATGCCCAGGACTTTGTTAAAACCGGCAACGCTGCATGAACGTTACACAGCGCCATCAATCCAATCGTCAAGTCAAGGAAGAAGTGAAGTTATGAGTTAAAAAATAGAACAATAAAGGCGTGACCGCGACAATACAAACGTTCTGATTTTATCTACTTTGTTATTTTTATATTTCTTGTGTGTTATTTAATAAATAAATATACCTACCAAGTTCTAAAAAAGATACGAGTTTAGGACATTACGATGAAGATATCTTATTTCTGAGCCTAAACAAGAATGTTTTTTTTTTATCTGATAGCAATAAATAAAAAAGGATGCACACCCACTTAATCACATTTAAAAATATTTTTATTGATATTTAAAGAAAGCTTTGAATTTAACACTTAATTCTTAATCAGGGGCGGTTACATTTCATAAAAACACATTATTTTAAAATAAATAACACAAAAATATAAATTCAATTTTAATAATTTTATTATTTTCATACGTGTTAATCTCTATTTTTTGGTACGCCACTGCACTTTGGCTAATCGCGTCTCTTTGGCTCACTTTTCTGAGTCCGAGGGAGCGAGATGCTTTAACGAAAGCCTCTAGATAAAAAGAGAAGTCAACACGTTAACAGATCCATGAAACGAACAATGACCTGCTTAAAATCACCTTATTTTACGCAATGACGTCACAAGGTAGGGCAGGACATACGAATCTTTCAAATCATAGATATTGTCATGAAAATTCCTAAGCCGTCTCTAAAGCAAGCGACCTTCAGCTTGCCACCCGACTCATGCTCGAAACAACGGAATCTTCTAGGAATGCCGCTGATGCTCGAGAACCGGCTAAAACAGCGAAAAGTGCCGTTGAGTCAGAGATGGAATTTTCGGGAGCTTCTAGAGACTTCTCGTAGCAGAGATGGACTTGGTATAAATAGCCCTACTTATCAGCGGACCGTTAGTTTAGTAAAAAGTATTGGACTGAACACATAAATTGCATTAAATAAATTAGAATTGTGAGCTAGTGCCTAAGTATTATATAAATTAATTAGTAGGTACGTCATAAATAAATTGTAAATAGTGTGTTTTAAATAAATAAACTATAAATAAATTAGACTATCGTTACATTGGTGTTAGAAGTGGAACTATAAATAAATAGTGGACAATCATGGAAAAAAAAACTGTGTGATTTAAAAGTACCTGAGCTACGTCGGTAATTAGAAAAACGTGAACTGGAGACAACAGGGAAGAAATCAGAGCTGGCAGAACGACTTAAAAAACGTTTCTATTTTCGGATGATGCGTCTGCTATAATTTCTTCAATTTCTTCTGATATGTCTTCCATGAAAACCGATATTTCTTCTAATATTTCCTCATTAGAAAGTAAAGTTTCTTCCTTAGAAGAAAAGGTGTCTTCTGACATATCTTCTTTAAAAACCGAAATTTCTTCCGACTTGGAAAACAAAATGTCTTCTATGGAAAATAATTTTCGTCTAATATTTTTTTCTTTACAAGAAAAAGTGTCTTCCGAAATGTCTTCTATGAAAAACGAAATTTCTTCTATGAAAGATAAGATTTCTTCCGTTGAGAAAAAAATAATGTCTTCCGTTGAGGAGAAAATAAAAGAGATGGAAAAGAAGATTGAAGAACTGGAACATTCCGAATCGGCCAAGGACGGTGAAATAAAGTGTCATGAGGTGGAGTCGAAGTTAAAATTGAAGGAGCTGTAAACTCTGCTCGTATTAAAGCCCCAACCTTGGACGGAAAGATGTTGGAGAAACTACCTCAAACAGTTCGAGACAGCTGCGAGGGAAAACGAATGGTCTGAGAGAGAAAAGGCAGTACATCTGACAATCGCCCTTCGAGGAGACGCTTTAGATGTCCTTCAGATAATACCTGTGGAAGAGACAGATGATTTTGAACAACATGCGATATGGCCACAAACACTTGGAGCAGGCGTACAGATTACAGTTGAAGAATCGCAAACAGAAACGTGACGAAAGCCTTCAAGAATTGGAATTAGATATTGCGAAGATGGTGCTATTTGCCTACCCATCAGCTCCGGAATCCATGATTGAATGTTTGGCCGTTCAAGCATTTGTAGATGGACTTTGTGACCATGAAATGCAAAGAATACTTCGTTTAGCCCGTCACAAAACATTGGGCGATGTCTTGTCCGCTGCTCTTGAATATGAAGCGGCTACGCTGGTTTCTAGTGGATACAGTGAAGTAAGGACTGTAAAAGAAGAAGAACAAGAAAATAAATTTGACCAATTGTTTCACATGATAAAAACCCTTATTGAGAAGCAACCGAAGACTATTAGGTGCTGGAATTGCGGTGAAATGGGAAATGTAAGTAGTTCGCGCGAACGCCCAAAGAACACTACGAATCAAAAAACCGTGCCGGTGACAGTACAGGAAGGAACGGTGTTGCCTGAAAGTAGTGAAACCATAAAGGTACCATTTGGGTAGGCGCGTCAAGAGACAAACGACCATTGAAGCGACCCCAAGGTCGAGTAGGACGACAGATGCATAAATGTTACGCTTCCTACATTTCGCAAGCATGAAGAAGTGTCGCGCGACACTTGCAAATAACCATTCGAGGGAACGATCAGCGTTGCCAGACCTACTGTTTTTACGTAGATCCAATGTTTTTGTCTCTAGTAAATTTTGTTCTTAATTTATTAAGTTTGCCTCATTCTTCAGCAAATGGTTAAATAATAGTTTCTTTAGTAAATTTTCTGCAGTAAAAGCAGCGTAATAAGCATCCACTACTGTAGGTTGGCTCCATAAAAAAACATCAAGGTAATCATTGTTTTTATTTAAAATGAAACAAAGAATTAATAGGGCATCATAAAAAGAACATGCATATGCCAAACACTACGATTTTAAATTATGTTATTCAGACTGATCTAAAAGAAGTAGGTACTTATTATTTTTAATTGGTTTTTTCCCGTACGTTAAGTATATAATAAAAATGTTTTTATTTTTTGTTTACTTTCTAATTTGGGTAGAAAAAAGTTTATTTTTCGTTTCGTATATACTTGTTTTTTATTTACTACACTGCAAATTATAATTATTTCCCTCTGTATTAAAATCTACTGTTCAGATCTACGGTTTTTTTTTTACCCATACTGTTCCAAAATCTGGCAACGCTGCCTAGATCGAAATAAATTTCCATCCTAATCACCCTCAAAATGAACCGATGCTCGGGAACAGTGACCTCGAGTACGACACGCAGCAAACCTTTGCCCCGAGGCAGATTCAGAAGTGTCTCCAGGAAGTGTTGTTTTGACGACACTTCTCGTGTCGCGCCGTGGAAAATGTGTTTCATATAATTGTATGTATTTTAGATGTGAAGCGACACTTCTCGGTCGCGTTGGCGGTCGTGTGTCGCGTCGGCGGTCGTCTGTCGCGCCTACCGAAATGGTACCTTAAGAGTAAGGCGGTTGCAAGAAACTGTAGAGAAAGCAACGCCTGTCATGGCGGAACTTCCGAAGTGCAATGAAGGTGTTGGTCAAGGAACTGTGATTGGAAAGGGGTTGGCCACATCTGTTAAAGAAGTACGAAGAACGTCGGTTGTCAGCGATGAGTGGGTTCCTGTCAAACTTAGGGAAGAACAAGGGAACGATCCAGTTTTAAAGAAGATAAGAGAATGGAAAGAGGAAAATTGTCGACCTACTTGGCAAGAAGTATCAAAACTCTCTCCAGTAGTTAAATCATATTGGGCTCAGTGGGCCTCCTTTATCCTGGAAGACGACTTATTAAAGCGAGTACTTGAAAATGATTGTGGTTTCGAGAACATTAGACGGTTGGTCATTCCAAGGAGTAGCAGTACTTCGTCAGTTACACGACAGTCCATCAGGAGGACATCTCGGTGTTAGGAAAACCCTTCAGAGACTTCGGGAAAGGTTTTACTGGATGAACAGTTCCGATGATGTACAGGACTGGTGTAAGAAATGTACCAGTTGTGCTATGAGTAATAACCTCAGCGACAAAGGAAGGCTCTCATGAAGCAATACAACGTTGGTAGTTCATTTGAGAGGATCGATATTGGTGGACCATTCCCCATGACCGAGAATGATAATAAATATATGATGGTGGTTATGGATTATTTCACGAAGTGGTTGGAAGTCTACGCCATTCCAAATCAAGAGGCCGCAACTGTTGCAGATGTATTGATAAAAGAGTTTATTTGTCGTTTTGGAGTGCCCTTGGAGATCCACAGTGATCAAGACAGAAATTTTGAAAGCCAACTTTTCCGTGGAATTTGTGACAGACTAGACATGAAGAAAACCAAAACCACAGTATTACACCCACAATCCGATGGAATGGTAGAACGAATGAATAAGACCATTGGCAAATATCTGTCAAAAGTAGTTACAAACCATCAGCGAGATTGGGATCAGTATCTTTCGCTCTTTGCAATGTCTTATAAATCCGCTGTCAATGAATCAACAAGCCAAACACCAGCAAAGGTCCTGTTTGTGCGTGAGATGAGACTACCGTGCGACCTTGAGTTTGGATGCCGACCTGGAGAAAATGTAGCAGGTAAGGATTATGTGATCCAGTTACGAAGAAGAATGGACGATATGCATGAATTGGTCCGCTCACATCTTCAAATCGCCAGCGACAGAATTAAGAAGCGATACGATACCCAAGTCACAGAAGGATGTTTCAAGGAAGGCGACAAAGTCTGGCTCCATAACCCAAAAGTGTTGTCCTCCAAAGCTTCAAAGGTCTTGGGAAGGTCCGTACCTCATCAAGAAAAAAAATTAATGATGTCATTTACCGTATGAGTAAGATCCCGACCGGTAAACCAAAGGTAGTGCACCAAAACCGGCTGGCGCCATTTGAGGGTGACCATGAAGAGAAAGAAAAAGTAAACCAGCTCAAGAAACACCTGACCTTGTCTTTGAAGAATTTATGGGTACATATGGAGGTACCGGAAAAGCAAGATATGGTGTTACAACCGAGCAACAACCAGACCTGCTCACGGTTCCTAAAGATAACTCGCTGGTCCATAGCACTTCCGCCAACATCTACGACGCTCGAGGTCTGGCATCTGTATTCCGGAAGAAGTTTGGTCGATTGCCAGAACTTCAAGATCAGTTACCAGAGTATGGAGAAGAAAGCACAGACAATGTGCAGACAGGGCTGAGTAAAAGATGACTACTAAAAAAAAAGACAATAATATAATTCTAAATATTTTTTTTATATTTATTTGTAGATTTTTTATTTTTCTTTTACTTTTACTAAACATATATTAAGGATCAATCCACGTAGGACATTACCAGAACGCAAAGCCAAAATAGAGCAGATTTAGAAAAAAAATTCCCCTGAAAGTTCATGTATCCTTATCTGGTTCAATGACCAACTGAATTCAAACAGTCATAAAATCTAATGGCGATATCACTCCGTTTTAGAATTAAAAATTCTTCTATATCCTAATATTTAGTTGTCACATAAAATAAACATTTTTCTTGTTAATTAGTTATTTTAAAATAAGTATTTTGTTTTTTATGTTTGTGATTGATCCACTGATCTGGTGTATTAATCCCGTTATTGTTAATTAACTAATTATAAAGTATTAAATAAAATAAAAAATAATTATAAATATCTTAATTTTAACGTTTACTTTGCAATAAAATGAGTTATTTTCGTTTGTATCGTTTTATTATAAGAGTTTCATCTTTATTATTATCATTTTATAAAATTTTAATAAAACTGTCACTGTTTTTGTTTTGTCTGTGCGCTACAATATAGAAATAATAATCTAGTACTTACATCCTTTAGTCTTGTAGTTGGTATAGAAATAAAAAACGCTATAACCAATATAACACCTGCAGTTATAAACCCTGCATCCAAAACGTCTACGGTAACAGCAGTGGCATGTGAGCCGTAATTTGACGGAAAATTTTCCTTTCTACCCAAATCGAACCACATTTCAACAATTTACAACTGTAAGTACCTACCTAACTAATTTTTAACTTTAGTTCTGAGTAGTGTCATGAAAAAATATTACAATAAACACAATTTTTGAATTACTTTGATGAAATAATACTGTGAAGTATAAAATTCCCGATGTTACTCAGTACTTCCTTTGTGTCTTCCTGTGATAAGAAAACTACTGTTTTATAATTTTTTTATCAAGTTGTGGTTTAAAGTTTTGATAAAGCTATTGATATACTAAAGTGTCATATAAATATAAATATTGATGATCATTGTATAAATTGTTTTGCATATTTTGACTAAAAGAAGTTGCGGGAAAAACTTGTTCGAGGATGGTCTTAATAATTCGTAGGGGGATTTTTGAGAATTGTTTCCGAATTTTCAAATTATTCCACAACTTATTTCAGATAATTCTGACCTTTCGGATTTCGATTTGCATTCTACGATATATTAATAATTAGTTTATTCAGATAAATAATCACAAAAAAATAATGCAATAATATATATAATTTATTACCTGGAATAAACAAAAGAAAGAAACCCGCAAAGGCAAGCCTGTGTTCACAATTTTCGTAAACAGGTTTACGTCGCAAACTTAACTCACACATATGGGCTCAGTATGCATTTAAATGCATTTTTAATATATACCTACGCTGTGTTAGAGGTATTTGAAGATTTGAGAACGAACCTGAAAACTGCGCTTGGCCCGAAGCACATCTCGACAGTCAATGTCGCAATGGTCCAGTGGTTAGGAAATTTGTGTACAGAAGAAAGATGTCTGGGTTCGAATCCTGGCGCTGACAAGCTTTTTTTCAAATCTCCAAGTATATTTTATCACCTTTGGGGTTCGAGGATGGTCTTAATAATTCGTAGGGGGATTTTTGAGATTTGTTTCCGAATTTTAAAATTATTCTACAACTCTGTATGTGTATCTGTAACGTGTGGAGGATGGGTAAACACACAGCACTTAGTCTTCACTAGGCCCATTGTGTATCCTCCTAAGTAGACAGCTCGTGAGCCAGCGTACATATTTAATGTAGTTGACAACACCGCCAAGTGGTGCTTCTCTTATATCGACCGGTGTTAGCCGATACTCGCCAAAAATAAATCTTCTAATAAATGAGAGCGTCGAGCAATCATAGAGGATATGCTCGATGGTTTCATCTTCTTGTTCGCAACCCCTGCAGGGTGCGGATTCTAACAGCCCCATGATATGGAGATATTTCCGTAGTTGGCAATATCCAGTCAGAATGCCTGTGATCAGGCGCGGATTTTATCCTAGTCATAATCAAGTACTTGTTTGCTGTAGTGTTGTCAGGATAACTTAAAAACACCCTGGCAAATCTGCAGCTTTTTGTTTCATCCCATCTTTCCTTGAATTTAACAAGGGACTGTTCTTTAATTAGGTTTGTCACTACCGATGTTGTCAATCCAATAGAAGGTCCAGAAAGTATTTGGTTGGCTGTCATCTTGGCAAGTGAATCTGTTACCTTTCGATGTGGCGTGATCTTTGATCCATCTTAAGTTGACCATATTGTTGATGGATACTTCGGCGAATAAATTCGTGGTCTGTTTAGGGTGAGTAGTGCTTGTTTGCTATTTGTATAGATGAGCATGTTTCTTCCAGTGATATTATTTCTGGTGATTTCTTTTGCATGAGAATCCCCGTGAGCTCGGTTTGAACTACACTGGCACTAAGATTTAAGGATCTATATTCCACATCCTGAGCCTTGTTTTGTTTTAGAACCGTCGTTGTAGATATGAATCGTACCTGTCACTTCCGGCTCTTTTATTTGTTCTATTATAACTTTATATGGCTTATGGAAGATATACGAGTATCTCGGTGAGATGGTGTCCATGTTCGCTTGAAGCAGTGGGAGCGTATCGAGCGCCTCCTGCCAAAAATCGGTATCTCGTCTCACGAGATCCTACATCAGGTTCTATCCCAACCGTGCGGAGGCGTGTCATTATCATCAGAGCAACCTCCTTGATGTAAATATCAAGGGGAGTGAGATTAAGAATGACTTCCATGGCTATGGTCGGTGTGATTTTCATTGGCTCCTGTTATGTTGAGACATGCTATTCTTTAAATTTGTACTAGTTTGCGGATAGCCGTCAATTTTTGGGATTTTGGGTACCCAGGCAACTGCACCGTATATTAGCATAGGTTTTATGATAGCCGTGTCCATGCGACGACTCTGGGGGAGAAACTCCAGGTCCGCCCCACGGTTCGGCGACATTGTTCATAAGCAATGTATGCTTTTTATACTCCGTTTTCTAAGTGTGAGTTCCACGTCAACTTGCTATAGGTGAGACCTAGGTACTTCACCTCTGTTGCAAAGTTTAGCTTTGTGTTTAAGAGTTCGGGAGGTTTTAATTCCATTTTTATCCCTTTCCTTGTGAAAAGGACCATATTTGTCTTTTGGGATTGATAGTAAATGGTCCTTGCACCACTGTTCTATAATTTTGAGAGTTACTTGCATTCTTTCGCAAAGTATGTTCTCAAAATTCCCTGTTTGCAGAATAACCAAGTCATCTGTATACGCTATTGTGTAGTGACTGTCATTATTGAGGCGGCTAATGAGGGTGCCGAGGACCATGGACAGTACAGGTGACAGCACCCCTTCTTGTGGACATCCCCTCGCAACCAAGCCTCTTATATTCACATCTTCTACACTTATGTTTCCTGCTCGCTTTGAGAGCACTAACCATCTGTGGAACACTTCTGTTGTTTAGTGAATGTATTCTTTTGGGAAAGATCTTCTTATCAAAAGCACCTTTCTATGTCTATGAAAACACCCAATGCGGACTCTTTAACGTCCAGTGAACTCTCTATTCGGCCAGCAACTAGGTGAAGGGCTAATTCAGTAGATCTGCCTGGGGTGTATGCAGATTTGGCTGTAGTGGTGTGGTTGTAATCACCACATCCCTTATCTACCTTTCGCATAGCCTTTCCAATGTCTTCATGGAAAACGATGTCACACTAATTGGTCGGTAGGTTTTTAGGACAGTGTAATCCATCCTTCCAGGTTTGGGTATAAAGACTACCTCCATTTTTGAGGGATATACCTCAGAGCCAATGAGGATCTGAATATACCTACCAGGTACGGTGTGAGTTCTTCCAGACCCCACTGAAGTA